TTGCCTTGGTAAATTCAGATTATTTGTGACTAGCACTTGGGAAATGAAAGTGTATCTTAAACAATCTTTGATCAAGGTTTTACCTTTGTTTGGGTTGAAAAATACATTTGAAAAACTGGTTTTGAAATGGCCTGGATTTACGTTTCCTCGGAGTGCTGTAGAAACACATTTAGAGAAAGAGTTCCAGTGTATCGGTGAATTGAAGTGAGTTTAGGTTGTGTCGATTTTCCTGATGGTTTTGATTGAACAAATGACTTAGTCTGTAATTGACTAACCCTGGAAATCAATCAAAGCCATGCTGTATTAAGTAAACTAAATTTAAATCCTTAAACCAACTGTGGATGTGGAACAATCTTTAAGTTTATGAAACAAATCACACTTTATTTTACTAAGGTGATATGAAACAGAAATTGTCAACTCAATGTATAGAAAGCAAAATACAACTGATACAGGTGCTAGTATGTTACATTGATTTTGCAAATGGAAATCTATCTACCTCCAAGACAATGGTGTCAGAATTTAGAGTAGCATAAACCAGAAATGGGAAAACTTTTTTCTGACATGGGCCAAATAGAAGTATTTTAGGCTTTGTAGGCCATATGGTCCCTGTCACAATTCCTTAACTCTGCAATTACAGTGCAAAAGCAGCCATAGACACTATGTAAACAAATATGTGTGGCTGTTTCAATAAAACTTTATTCATGGACACTGAAATGTGCATACTATATAATTTGTATATGTCATGAAATAGTCTTTTGATTTTTTTCAATAATTTAAAAACATAGAAACCCTTCTCAGCTCAGAGCTCAAACAAAAATAAGCAGTGGGCCAGATTTGGCTCATGAGCTGTAGTTTGCTGACCCTGCCTCAGACCAATGCAGCATGAGCTGTAGGAGTAAGCTGTGAGCTTCAAGACACATCAAGTATGTCAATGAGTCGTCCGCTGTTCATTGAAGAGTAGCTATTGAACACAACATCACCTATGTGCTACACTTGACAAAAAAAAGTTTACCCTGAGTTGAATAATGCGAAAACAACTGGACACATCCAGACTGTGGGTTATTCTATAAGACTGGCCTGGACTCTTCAGAAGTGTCATGAAGGACCAAAGAAAAATTAAAGTACAGTGAAACCGCTCAAGAATAAAAACACAAAACCTAAAACAATGTGTGATCTGTGTTTGAATCACAGATTAAAACAAAAACAACTGTAAAAGGACGTTTTAGGGTATTTGGAGACATCTGAATATAGATTATCAAACGCAGTTGTATCAGTGTTACTTTTCTTGGGCATGAGGATGGTATCGTGGACTTAACAGAGTAACACTCTTGTTCTTAGACGGTATATGCTGAAGCATTTACAGATGAAGTGTTCTGATTTGCAATTTAATTGCAAATAGTTCAATCTCAAAAAGGCGTGTGTGTGTGTGCTTGTGCATGTACACATGTGTGCACCTGTGTGTGCAGAGATGAAGCAAATGTGATAAAACAATAACAATAACTGAATCTGATTGATGAGTACGCAAATATCATTGTACTACTCATTCAACTTTTATATAGGTCTGAAATTATTCAAAATAAAAATTGGAAAAAATATATAGGAAAAAAGACACAGTTGTAAATTTAGTGGGTTCAAGTTAAAAAACAATAAGATATAAAATTATAGTGTTTGAAAAATAAGGTAGTCATTAAAATTCTAAAATAATACCTGTTTCATTTGGAAATTAAAATAATTTGACTTGTAAGAAATAGCTCCATCATTTCAGTGTGTTTTGTAATTTTCATCTAATTTATTTTCAGGAATTAGAGCATGGGTAAAACCTAAAATCATTAAACTTAGCTTCTCAAAAGCCCGAATTTAGATTATTTTGTTGTTGCAACAGAGGATATTTATTCAGTGACCAGAAATCTGAGATATTTTTCTGTAATTAAAACTTTCAGATACAAAAAAACCCCCACTTCTTCCAGTAGTCAGTCCCACATAATTCTGCATACTATTTTGCTCACTAGATTTTTTTTTAATGTAGCGAATCTAGACAGGAAACAAAATTAATGGGTCATCATTTAATTTGGAGAAATCACTCTATTCGAGGACATGAAAGGCACTTTCACAAGAAAAACTGTAAACCTTTGCAGGTAGAGGCCACATTTTAGTTGCCTTTGTATCTCTAATGCCCAACACGGTGCCTCACACAAGTAGCCACTCAATGAATGTTGCCGAATGACTGAATGAATACATGAATAAATGGAAGAGGGACCTCGCTTTAGATGGAAACAGGTTAGGCCTGGATGTGATGTAAGGTAAACACCCAAGATGACTCTGGCACTGGACTGGGTCACTGAAGGAAGTAATGGATTCTTATTTATTTGCTTATTTATTTATTGATTGAATTTTACAATAATAGAATAAACATATATCTTAATATATTTTTAGAGAAAACTTACCACTTAAATGTTCAGAATTTTTTCTACATGTATGATGATGAAGACAGTTCCTCAATTTCAAGGACTCTGTCTATTAACATTCAGTCAGGTTGACATGGATTTGAAAACTATGGCATATGAAGGGCTGTTGAGGGTATTAAAGAACAGAAATCATAGAAGCTGGGAGAGGATGAATAACTGGTTTCAATTATCTTCGGGGTTACCATGGAAAAGAAGGAGTAGAGATTCTCTGAGCAGCATATCAGGAAAGAATTAGGACCAGTGCGAAAAATTAAAGGTGGGGCGGGGGGCACTATGCAGATTTCAGCAACCCAAGAAATAACTTTCTAACAGAGAGACACTCCCAACGGGGCTCAGCCTGAACAGATGACAAACCCCTGTCACTGGAAGTGTGTAGGCAGAGTTGGTGTGACCATTTTCAAGGGTAAGAAAGGAGGTAGCACCTATGTAGAGCGAGAGATGAGGCCATCCCATCCTTTCTGACCTGGAAGAGCATCGCACAATAAGCCTGAAAGCCATTGACAAGTTTGGTGCTAACGCTAAATAGATTATTAATAAACAAATACTTTCAATACCTCAAGGTCTTCAATGAGCATATCACAGGTAAATAAAACACCATGGTCTGTCCCTTGAAGGTTTTACTGATAGGTGTAGACTTGGCATTAGTTAATATGCAAGGAAAATTTAGGTTGTTTCAGTATATGAACTGATTCAACACCTCAACAGAAATCCAGAATGCTCTTAGGTATTTCAAAGACACTAGGACTTTTTTCTGTCTACATCCCAGGCCACTATCCCCGTTATTTTCTGTTATCCTCTCAAGACTAGCTTATTTTCTATAGCTACCTCCTGATGAGACATTGATCTCTAATATCTTCCCCGTCATCATCTTGAACACTGCAACTAAATGTCTGCCTAAACCCTTGTGAACAAGTTACTGTCCATTCAAAAGTCTAGAATGACTCATCAATTTAGAAATGTATTTGGAAAAGATTAAAAGGGGCGTAAAAATACAAATAGTTATTAAAATAGTAGAATCATAGACGACAACTTTTGCAGTGCCCTCGGTGTGCTACTAATCAAGTTCTAGTGATAAATAATAGCAGGCGCGAAACAAGGACTTGACAAAATTTTCTTACTACCTAGCATAGCACATATAAAAGCTCCAACATAACTTGTTAAAAGACCCTCCATGAAGTCTCCCGACTTACCTTTTCTCCCACTACCCCTGCAACAAGCTTCACTAATTTTCTACCGTCTAACGTTCTGCTTTCTTCTAACCCTTTTCTTCCTCCCTGTCCCTCACGGCTGCTCCGCCTCTGTACCTCTTTACCCACTCCGCTCTTTCCCTCACCTGCAGGACAACCACTGCATCTCGTCTGCGTGTTCACCTGCCCTGTCCCAAAGCCTCCTGGGGGTGGGGTGGGGGGTGCTGGCCTCTGCTCGGCTGTCACTGCGCCCCCTGCATCTGGAATAGTGCCTTGCAGATAAAAGGTGTTCATGAACTCTCAATTGAATGAATGATTGTCATTTCTGTGACGATATGAATCCACAACGTTATTTCTTTTTGAAACCTGATATAAATTGAGTATATATCATGTGTGGTTTTCTAATTGCGTTACATCCTTTTCTAGTTGTTTACATGTTTTAGTGTATGTAGGTATTTCAAAATGAAAAGAGAAATGTCATCCATATTACCTAATTCAATATTTCAATTCAAAAAATATTTATTGAATACCTACTGTGTCAGGCACTTTAGTAGGCGTTAGAATAAAATTAGAAACTGCCTTTCACAAGAGCAGTAAAGCCCAAATGGAATATTTTTTAGCTGGTTTCTTTTATACAAAATAAATACACTAGAAATCTATCATTTAAATCAAAATAATAATCAATTTTTTTATACTTTTCTACCATCTATCAAACCCATTCAAAAAATTACATAAAATAAATATAAGATGTACTAGGTGTCCTGAAATCCAACATTAAAACCATTAATTATACGTAGAAATAAAAAAAAATCTAGGATATATTTTTACTGATTTAGGGGAACCAGAATTCGTGTTTCAAGATCTTTATAGTGATTTAAAAGATTTTGAAAATTGGGAAGGCTTTATGTGTCGTTTCTAGTTTAAGTAAGTTTAAGCCTCTTACACAATCTAGATATTTTGGAAGCTGCTCTATGTAATATATTTCCAGAACCAGATGCAATAATTTGGTCAAGAACCCAAGTAGAAGAGATCACTAATTTTCCTTTTCCCCTAATAAGCTATGTTTATTATGCCAATTTTAATTACCATGCAATCTAATGGATTTAAGGCTTATATTTTCCACGTCACTAGACATCACAAACATGAAAGCATTTTATACTGTCATTATACATCAATGCTTGTACTTGGTTATACATATATATAGAAATTATTCACACATCTTAACCTTGCTATTTCCTCCTTTCAAACCAACCTAATTTTACCATGAAAGCAGCTTTTTAATAAATGGTATAAGAAATACAGCAAGGCACACTTTTTTAAAAAACTTTTTTCTCATTACCACCTCAAGAAGCATAAAAAAAAAAAAATGTTGTACATAATTTAATAGAATGTCACCAGTTTATAATATACAACACCATAGAGTTGTTTCCTGAAGTGCTGCATAGATTATTATTTTTAAAAGAAAATAAATAAAACGGTGCTTTCCAAAGTTGCTCAATCTTGAAAGAAAAACCAGGGTTTCTTCTCTACGCTGCAATCAAATCGAACGTTGCCCTTTTAGGTAAAACTCTTTCAATAAACAGAGGCATCATAGCATTACAAAAGAATTCATACTGAAACATGAAATTGGTCAAGTGCTCGCAGGGGCTCATTCCAGACAGGTGAATGTAATGGACCATCAATTTGGTGAGCTGCAGGGCTTTAAGAGCAGACAGGGAGGGGAGGAGGCAAACAGAAAAGTCTTTCTGGAGAGGCGGGGTTGGCAGAGGTAGCTTGGGACAGGAATCCGTGGGAGAGCAAGCAGCTTTGCTGAACTTCAGAGACAGTCACCTACGAGGACCAGGGCACACATCCGCTACAAGGCCATGTGGACAAACCGCATTTGGAAGGGTCATCTTGGGGGAGGTCCGTGTAACAAACGGCAGTGACGTGATGGGAGAGACCAGCCTGGGGTGGGAGTAGGAGGCCACCCCTGAGTTGCAGCCAGGCTTATCTACAAGAAACAAACAAACAAAGGTTTCAGAAATATCTGTTTCATTTGTAAAACCCAGACCTTGGAGGAAGCACCGAAGGCTGCCTTTTGGGAACTACCTGTTAATGTCCTGAAATGGAAGGATGCATAAAATACAAAGTGATTTTAAGAGCCCAAGGTCCACATTACTGACAAAAATGTTTTAGAATCAATATGAAAAATACATTGATTTTTTTTTTTTTTTTAAGACATGGTTTGGAAGAAAACCGAAAAGAATCATCAAGTTTGATTTTTTCCTCTGGATCTCACCTCCTCTTGCACGCGTGAGCTCCGTTTCAAACCCTCCAGACAGCCCCGCTCACTCCATTGTGAGGCTGCCAGTGCCACACGGATCAGCCAAGTGTCAACCGTCATTCACAGACCAGGAACCCAGGCCCTCAGGTTTAACCCTTCCTCCAATGAGGCTGTCTGTGACAGTGTGATTGAACAATTCCCCTGTTCCACAGTGGTGAAATAGTCATAACATTGTGATGATCCCAAATGTTTCGACCCCCTGCCTATAAAGGATATCGCTGGGGCTTCTAGCTCAAATACAAATGCACATTATTTAAGTTACAGACAACATTGTGCAAATGAAATGATTCAATTACTTCTGTACGTCTGATGGCTCTGATACACATCTCTTCCAAACTCAGCTGGTTCTGCCTCTTTAAGGGGCTAAAAGCAACTTGTTGAATGTGAAGAACAAACAAATTCCAGGTTTAGGCAATGCAGGATGAAATGACTTAAGGTCTTCTGACCAGCCCTCAGATAAAGTAGGATTTTGCTTGTCTGAGTTCAAGCTGAGTTCTGAATTCTGATGTCAGGTTGCTTTATTGTCCTTTTATTTTTTATCTTTACTTTTAGTTACGTGCCCCTAGCGGGAACCAAACCCGGGACTCTCTGGTCTGCAGGCTGACGCTTGAACCGCTGAGCCAAACTGGCCAGGGCTTTATTGTCCTTTTAGAACAAAACACTCTCATTCTCTGTCTTGCTCTTTCTCGACAACCTTACAATGTATGTACTAGCCAGACGATCTTTAGCTAATATGATTTGGCTGGAGCCACAGGAAGTCGGAGAGAGAAAGCAAGTTTAAGAACAGGGAGAGACAGACGGGAACAGATGGGATGAAATTTGGGATAGTTAAATAATGCAGTAACTCAAGAAAGAGCACAGTGCATTGTTCAAATACTGAGGACATGACTCATTTGAAATCTGGCCACTGAGTAGTGAATCCTTAGGTGAGACAAATTTCATCTTACTAAATAAACGCTGATATTTAAATTCTTTCTGGGCAATCAATTCTTTCAACTTGGCCTACTTTGAAAGGGGCAAGCCAAATTGGCTGAGACACAGATCTGGGCTGTGTGTGTGTGTGTGTGTGTGTGTGTGTGATGCCCAATAAAATCCCCATTATTTATCATGACAAAGCTAGATATACAGAAGTGCTGGATAATTAAAAAAATACTTCACATCCATCAGAACCTTGATTTATTGAAGTGATTTCAAAGGTAAATTTGATAAGATTACACTTATATTGGTTAGTGAAAAATGAATATACTATCACCACGAGTAGTCTCTTAAACTCGCTCGGCCAGCTTTGCATCATATTAAACACGTAGTGTCAATCCCATTAATAGAACAAACTTCTGTTGTGCGAACATGAGAAGTGCTCGCTCTTACAGCTTCCTCCGTTTGTAAAGATTGAGCAGCAACACTTTTTACTGCACACGTGTAAACTTGAGCACACACAGGGTGCATGTGATGAGTTACATTTTTATACCCCAGGATTTATTCTGCACGAAGTTTAGGGTTAAATCACTCACCAAAGATCAGAGGCTTATGAGGAGCGTTATGAAGAAATAACTGTCAGAATGCAGCCGACAGATTAGTGCCAAGTCCCTCTCTCAGGCAGGTCCTAGGAGGCTCTCCGGGCATACATGATTTCCTCCTCCGAGTTAGGCGGAAATACCTGGGTCTATTCAGTTACCTTTCTTTTGATGTGATTTGCTGTAACTGACCTCTCTATTTTTATAGAAACATGACATATAAATGAAAAGCACAGCAGCATGCCTGGAAATTGGGGCAAAAGCCTGTGATAGGTGATGTTAAAACTTCTCATACAGTTTCAGTGGGTTTTAAATTAGAACATAGTAAATGGGAAAATTTTTTTTTTAATTTTTAAATGCCATTACTGTTGCAAATGATATTGGTATTATTCAAAGTTACAGCTCTTCTAGATGGCATAATAATTTCATCCTCTGAGAACTTATTTCTAAAAAAACAGCAAGTTGAATTCGGTGAGTTTTATGATCCTGATAAAAAGAGCATGCCAACGGATTGTTTTCAAGTGGCTTAAAAAGTAGAGGTTTTTCTTTTGCTCTTTTTTTAGGAAGAACAATGATGACAATTAAGCTTCTATAGACATGGAACTTCATATTTACCAAATAATTTTACTGTTTATTCCTGACATTGTACACTGAAGTCGTGTCAAGATTTTGAGATTAAATAACTTGTCCTGGTTGGTAGTATTTTAACCATATTTAAATCTTTATACCCAGGTACCATGCTAATGATCGGTGAAAAATTTAGGTATCCAGGTGTTTTGTGTACATGCTCCTGAAAAAAACTGAACAGGACTAGTAAATATGGCTATTTCAATGGCCCTAGGCTGATCAGGAGTCACTTGGGGGCGATGTGAGTTCTGCAGAAGTAAAATCTGGCTGCTTCTCTCCTGGCTTGGGATGGGGCCAGGCTCCGCATCTCGGGGGCTCAACCAAATATTGCTGACTGGCAGGCAGGCTGGCTGGGAGTTGTACGCTGTCCCCGCATGTAAAATGCGAGGGTCGCACAGACGCATCAGCACATGCTCATCATTCCCATTTCGTGTCAATCCTGTGTCTGTAAAGACGAAACCCCCAGGGCAGCAAGAGGCGCGCGTCCTGGAGGTTTCTCCAGGCCAAGCTTCTCGAGCTCCGCATCAGCGTGACTGGTGACTCGAGGGTCCCAGGCACAGGACGCCACGTCCCAGTGTTGTTGCTTTCGAACCTCTACCCCTTTCAGAGAACAAAAACCAGCCAGGCCCTACCAGCCCGTCCTCGGAGGCTGGCAGAGCCGGCGGGACAACTGGTTCTCACAGCGCCTGTTTGGAAGCAGTTCACGGAGGTGCAGTGACTCTCCCGCAACGGTCAGTTTCACCGATGGAGAATGCGCTGCTAGGGCGGACCTCTTTCACAGAGAGTGACATTTCTCTCGCTCTCATTTTTGTTCTCATTTGCAGCCAATTGCAAAGAGTCTGAAACATAGAAAATTAGTCGAGCTATATTAGTCAGTAGGATGCCTTTCTTCAATTTCGCATACCAAGTTTATTTTTAGGGTATGTATATGGTATAGATTTCCCCCTCGCTCCTCATTTCTAGCAGCTCTAAACGGAATCGCACATTTTAATGAGCCTGGGGCACAGGTGCTGCAGGGAAAAAAAATAATGATGTTTGCCATTCATCTTTCAAATTAAATAATGTGTTTTTAAATAGTAACTTTTTTCATAATACATTATGGGAACAACATTTATCTGTCACATTTTAAAAGATGTATTTGTAATAAATGTAAATTACTTTTAGAAAATCAGTAATTAGGCTCATCAAAAAATAAACAATCTGCCACAAAAAAAGATAATCTTTAGCATAGTTAAGTATAATAACTGTTATTTGAATAAGTTAACAAATTAGGGTAGATTGCTCCTGTAATTCACTTCCTATAGCACAAGTTTAGGTGACGACATGCAGCTTCTGGAGCGGGGGTGGCAATGGCACTCGGCACCTCAGACTTTGGTAAAACACAGCTCACATTCAAAAGCTCAAATTTCCTTTAAACTGGATTGAGATCGTATATTCGTCACCGGGGCTCAGAAATGGGGAAGGGCAGATTCTCTGTGTCACTTTTAGAACTGTATCATCACCTCAGAATTATCCATCAATAGCTGTCTTATTAAATATGAAGAGCGGCATGACTTTCTTTCAAAATATTGGATGGAAATCAGCCTGTCACCTTCAGGCAAAATTCGAAAATTCTGTTTTTATCAAAACACCATTAACTGGTCATGTATTCCTTCTGCATTGGCTTGCTGGGCCTGTTCTCAGCCTGTGTGTGGATAAATAAAAGACTCTTCTCTAACATCAACTTCCCCTCCTGCTTGAATCCGCAGACTTGGCCGTGACCAGGAGTTGGAACAGCACGGCATTCCACTGGGGGAGTGAACATGATGACAGTGACTTTAGACGGAAGCATAAAAGGAAGGCCCAGGTCGGGGGACACAGCCTTGAGCTCATCTCCAGGGCTGAAGCAAGCAGGCAGCTCTGGGCGCAGCAAACGGCCACGGGGAGTGTGGTCACTGCACATGCGTTGATCAGAGGGTCTGATGGCAATCTGGAGAACTGTTTTTTCTTCCCTCAATGGGAGGAGTTGAGGCCCTCAATTATTCAGCGACTTCCTCAAAGTTTGTGTTCTTCTTGCCAGAATGATGTAATGAGTGAATGTCACTAGAAATGTCCGTTGTGACTGTTTTCCCTCCTTTTGCTTCAGTTACTTGCATTGTTGGGAGTATTTCTTCTTCAGATAAATGTCTGCCGGGACCAGTCATTCTGACTGATCTTTTCTCCTATCATGGCTTTGTTGACGCAAATGCATATTTTAAGCATAGAGATAGAGATAGAGACAGAGATAGAGATAGAGATAGAGATATATAGAGAGATATGCATATTAAATGTGGATTAGAAACATGAGACCTACACGTACCTTTCAATGAGATGATTTTCATGCTTGGAGCAGGTTCCATTCTACCGATGCATATTTCTATGTCGTTCTTCATCAAGGTTTAGACCATCTTCACAGGTTAGAGTTCCGGGGCTGGGATGCAGAGCAGCCTTGACTTTAGACTGCTTTGCCTTTGAGGTGAGCCCAGGGGCTCCAGGTTTGGCTGAAACAGCCTCGTGTTCTTCGGGCATTCCAGTCGCTCCTGGGTTTTCTGAACTTCCTTTTTCACTGCGCTGCCTGGAAGGAGTCGCTGATGCTGAGCTTCCCCCACAGACACTGGAAGCCTGGGGTGAACCATCCACTTCCTGTCCAGCGTCAGACCCTTTCTGAGGGGGAGGACTTGTGAGAGCCACGGTGTCTGCATCATCAGCTAAGAGAGAACTGTCACTGCACCTAGCGGAGCCCGGGGCTGCTGGTAATGGCCTGGCAGTGTCACCGCCAGCTGCAGGCTCCTTTGGAGGGTCACTGGAGAAATGGGGCTCCTCTCCAGCGGGGTCATCCTCAACACAGGCCTCAAAGAAGCACTCAATGTCTTCCTTGTCGTCTAGGCCAGAGTCGGTCATGTCCAGGGGCAAAGGGGTGCTGCTCTTCTCTTCTATGTAATTGGTGACCTCTCCGCAATCACTGTCATGAGATGACAGGGACAAGTAGGAATAAAAGTCCCCTTTTCTCAGGTGGATGGGCCGGTGAGAATGTTCTAACACTTTCTCCTTGATCTGAGTCAATGAAGTAGGAGCAGCCGCCTCGTTTTCAGGTTGAGACTTACTTTTGAGGGCAGTGGACGCCATGTCGATGATTTCCTTAACAAAGTCATGCACTGAGCAGTCTTCAGCCTCTTTCTGGTGGAGAATGCCCGGCTCGCAGCCGCAGCAGGAAGTGTGGTCACCAACAGAGGCATTTTCCTCTGTTTCATTTTGCTCAAGTGCTGGGCAGCAACCAGCAGGTGCTCCGGCCACACCGAGTCCATCGTTCCATGAAGACGTCAGGACATTGTTGTCCTGTCTATTGATAACTCCGGTCTCTGAAGGCAGCTCTGAGCAGGACTTCTCAGGGGGAGTAGAAGCAGCCCTTTGATTTCCGAAGTGGTGGTGGTTTTGACAGTTCTTTGGAAGATGTCTAACAGTTTGGCAGACAGATTCCTTTCCAGCAATGTGGGGATCATCTGAGCCATCCACGGCTGCTCTGCACTTACAGTGCTCACTCTCTGAAACCCTTTTCCCGGCTGAACCAAGGTTTTCTGATTCCTTGGATAGCCCGGTAAGTTCGTCCTCCTGTCCTTCTGGAGCACTTTCCACGTTGCCATTTTCCATGTCAGCCACATACGGATCTTTGAAAATGTTTTTCTTATTTTCACCCTTTGTTCCTGACTCATGGAGGTGGGATACATTCTTACCGTTTCCATTATTTTCAGGGAGATGTTTTCCGGAGCCATTCAGAAGGGCCTCGATACTCAGGGTATCAGAGGGATTGGTCATCTCACTGCTACTTATATCCTTACCGCCCCTTATTTCGTCACTGAGATCACACCGTCTCTTATCTCTGGTCGCGGAAAGCTTTGGTCTAATCCAGGTGTGCAGTTCATTCTTTATATAGTCCAGCCCTGACATCAAGTGGCATTCTTCATAGATTTCATCATCGGTGGCAATACTGGAGTCATCATCCTCATCTTTGATGCAGAGCTCTTCTTCGGTCAAGGTGAGGGTCGAGCTGGAGAGGAGGTCACTGTCATCTTCGTCATCAGTGCAAGCAGAAGTGCAGGAGACATTAACGATCATGCTGACATTGACATCGCTTTCATCAGCCACTGAGCGAGTCAGGCGCTTCCTGAATGATGCATTTGATTCCGGGATCTTGTTCTTGTGTAACACAATATCCTCTGAGCAAAGAGAGAGCTCATCACTGCTGCTAAGTTCCGTGAGAGATGCCGGCGAGTCTTCATTGATAGAAGATGCTATGTCCAGTGACAGCTGGCCAGTAAAAGACATCTTTTGGGAACTGCTTTGAAGAGTGATATCGGAAACACTTCGCTTTATCTTTTGCTCTGAGGGGCTCTGGATATTCTCCAAACGATTTAGGAGATCTAATGTCCTTTTACTCAGTTCACCAACTGAGCCACTGCTCACGCTTATGTCCCCAGAGCTGTGACAGCTAAAAAGATCTTCATTGCTTTTATAGGATGTCAACCAACTTTCTAAAGAAGTGCTTCGCTGGAGGCTGTCACTGCCATTTTTAAAGATGCCCAATCCAAATAAATCACCCCCTGGAGAAAGGGACTCCACAGAGGAACTATGGGATAAAAGGGAGAGCTGTTTGGCATTCTGCATGCCAGTGAATGTCTTCTCTGCATCACCACTTTTGTATGAATTGTGATCCATTTCATGGGATGCACTTGCCAAAATCCTTTCATGGGGAGGTGCATCTGGTTGTAACTCTGTAGCTTGATGTTTAGATTTGCAGGACTTTTTATCAAAATAAAAGCCATGAAGCAGGGGATCCTCTACGTGTGCCTTTTCACTTTGTGACTGTTTCATTATCGTTGGTAATTTGAGTTTCGAGCCTTGGAGGTATGAGTAATCATAAAATGTAAACACATCATGTTTTCCTTGTAATTCTTCTCCCAAACAATCGGGGGTATGTTTGGTAACACTGTTTGAATCTCCAACTTTTCCATTTACACGACCCACTGGTGAAATGGGTGACTGAGAGCTATTTGGAAGCTTAACGGCTTCCCCCTCATCTTTAAATTTCTGCTTTAACATGTTAATGGCACCTCCTATTTGTGGGTCCAGATGTTCAGCTTCAGGGTTCGTCGGGGACCCATCCACCACATTGGGCAAGCACGTTTCCGAGTTGGTGGTGGTGTCAGTGTCTCCTTCGCTGACGATGCCACTCTCGCTGCCTGAATTCTGGCTCAGGTCTCCCCCGTGGCACGGGCAGGGCTTCACCGAATTGGAACCGCCTAGAAGATCCGGCAGAGATTTGGTGGACGAAAATGAGGAGTCTTTACTGAGACTCTTAGTCAAAGCAGTGGGCTGTGTCACGCTGGTGAGCTTCAAAGTGCTTTTCAGGAATGGCATGTGGTTGTCCTCATAGAGCTCCACGTTGTGGAGGCTGTATACTTGGTAAATGTGCGGGCTGGAGGGGGCGGTAATGCTGGAGGCATACTGAGATCCCCCGCGGTCACCTGCCTCTTCTTCATAACCAGGGTCCTCACTGCCTGTCTCTTCGAGTTTTAAGGAAGGCATGACAGGTTGGGGTTCTCGATCAAGGTCATTTGATTCTTCATTCAAACTAATTAACTTGTTACTTATATCCGTTTCATCCCACTCCAGGGCATCTTCACTGGTCCCGGTTAGGTCCATCAAGCCCGGATCAATTACATTCAAAGTCTCCTGTGTGGGGAGAAGAGGGGGGAGAAAAAAGAAGAATTAGGGAACACAAGCATGGAAATTTTGTTCATTCAAAATCTCTTGGAAGACTCAAGAAAGAAATCTGCTTCGAGCACAGATTTGAAAGATAGCATAATTATCAGCTCTATTCCTCCCTGGAATAACACCCCAAATTATTGAAATAGGCTGTTCTATCAATAGCAATTTGTCACTGAAGGCAATAACATAGATTAAAATGTAAGATTATTATAGTCAAGTTGTAATTTATGGAATTCACCATTTCCTATTGATTCTCCTACATTTTTTTTTACCCTAGGACTGGGTGAAGATAAAACCATCAGGTAAAGGAAGGCAAAGGAAAAAGGGTAGAGCCCATGGCATCTCTGAAGGAGGCGTATTCACTCGGACACTGCCTTCGATCCGGCGTCCAGAGTGGAAGGCCACCTGCTCTATTCCTGGGCTCCCCCCCAGAGCCACGTTGTCTGGGGAGATAGAATAAAGTTGGAGTCACTCATGTTCCAGGGGCTCTCGCGTGTCTTCCCCTTTCCCCGCCTTCCCTTTCCAGGCGATGCCTCTTTAGAATTTGGCCTGCTCCCGATCAGACCCAAGAGGAGCAACACTTGGCTGGGTTCCTGGACCTGAGTCCGGCACCGCCCGTTAACTCGTTTCCCTGCTCCCAGTTCTCACAGGCGGGACCCTCCACCTCCGGCCCTGGAACAACTTCCCGACGACTTTCCTGACTCCCCAGGATGCAGCAGCCCCATCCTCTTAGGCTGCTCTCTGCCTGCACCCCTGGGACCTGGACCTCAGCTTAGACTTCCTGTTTTAACCCGGTTTAGGTAGAGCCTGACACATTCGGGGACACAGAAGTCACTGAGCTGGCTCTTGGACTCTGCCCAGGATCCTTCGCCATCCTCACTTGCTGTCCAGCTGTCTGGATTCTCGCCAGAGCCAAAGAGGTGACCAGGGCACCGCAGGCCCTGCCGGGTTCAAGGACAGACAGAAACTCGAGCAGAACTTGGCGGTCCAGCTTGTGCGGGCACCAAGTCCCCAGGCCGGTGAGCTGGGCTCCGGAACTGGGCGGGTGCTGACTTTGCTGAGGATCTGCAGGGCCTTGGGCACGTTGCTTAACCCATCCTCTGCGCACCTGGCTCCTCAAGTCTCTATCAAGGTCATTCTAAGGTACTGAAGGGCTGAGGGGGCCGGCAGCGTGAGGGCAATAATTCTTAGTGCACGTGGAATGGCTCTATAGTGGCCCTGAGTCCATTCATAAAGCCTTCTCCCAGCCGAGCTCATTCTCTCCTCATCATCCCTTTCAATTTGCTCTTAAGGCCACAGGGGATTCAGGACAGGGGAGGCAGAGAGAGGTGTCCTACGGTAGAACAGGTCAGCGGATTTGCATTACAATTCAGATTTACTTGAACAGCCTGGTTGGAAGAGCAGGCCTAAGGCTTTATTCCTCGGGGGTGGGGAAAGGGCTTCGCCAGCCAAACATTAGCAGAACTTTCTTAAGTCCTCATCCTCCCTGAAACGCCTAGTTAAAGGATACCACATGGACACATTTAAGTATAAAACACCCATTAGCGCTTTATTATACTGGATATGTAAGAGATTATCTGTATAGCCTACTTACGTTGGAAAGAGTCCGGTTACAAAGTAAACATTAATTAAGGGATATTTTTAAGTTTTATAACAGAAATCTTTCCCGCTGCCAATGCTACAGCAGTTAATTTAGTACACCAACACTCATCACACTCACTTAGGTATGGAGTACATTCCCTGTGATGAATTTTTATTAGAACTTCTGTTTATTCTTTGCTTGCTGATAACGGCAATACTAATGACTGGTTAGTATGGCTAATGAATGTTAAAATCTTCAGCTGCAGGAACAATCAATCAGTCTAATCAAATACTATATTAATTTCAAATACCGTCTTGGCTGACACTATACTCTGAGAGTGCTAATAAATAATTGAACTAGTCTTTCAAAGGCGCTCTCCTTGCAACTCTCTGGTGGGCTCGAACGTTTAGCAGCACAGATTCGCAATGAGAGGCCCGAAGCCGGGGGCTCACACTAGACACAGGAGCTGTGCCATCTGGATGTGCGCTGGGAGCTGAGCCCCAGCGACGCCGGGAACTCGGGCTCGCCTTCCATGACACAGTCATTTTCTGACCACATGCTGCCTCGTGGGCTTTACAAACGAAAGCCTAAGACGGTACACGACGGAGAGCAGGACCTAAAGGAGCAAAGCCTTTGTTCCGGAAAGTAGTTGGGGTGGAAAATTTCCGCAGAAAACGATTAAACTTTTGGATGTAATATTATCTTTTCCCCTCCTTGATTCTCTCCTATAAATCTCTTACATGTGTTGTAATTCCTGAAATTTTTATTGGATGTCAATTCCAGGGATATCTGACAAGATCCGTTAGTAAATTGCTCACTTTAGACTTTAAACTTTACATATTAGAGAAGCACCACGCACTCTGTTCTCGTTCACTCTTTTCTCTTGTGAATTAAATTATGTCAATATTTTCAATAAAATCTCCATTTCCTCAAGATTTAACCTCAAACAGAAAACATACCCTGGGGGGCAAAAACATGGGGAACGTTTCCAAGAGGAAACACATTAGAATATTTATATAACTAAAAAGTTGTCTTTGAAAAAAAAAACAAACTAGATATATAGTAATATAACTGGTAGGAAAATTACTTGGTTGAATGCTCTCTTTGATGATAGCCCAACAGTCAATAATGTTCAAGCTAATTAAGCATATATGTTGTTATTTTTCTAGAGGAATTGTCAGATACACACACACACACACACAGAGTGTTCCTGTCTTTAATACATGGATAAATCAAAAATGGATGAGCTGGTGAGCTGTGTAGTCAGACCACCTGGGTTCCTAAAGGATTAGGGATGGGGGTGAGGGTAACTCACCCCCCTTCTCTTACCCCCCATAGAAAATAAAATGGATGTAGACAAAAATCTAAGAATATTTGACTGAAGCCAGAAGAATGGTAAAGAGTTCAAGAGGTTCCAATATAAAATCTTTAATTCCAGGGGTAATTCTGAATTCAATTAATGTGTGCAAGCGTCTTTCATACATAAGCTTGCTTCACTGATACAGGATTTTGGTCTAACCCAAGGGCTTTATATAAATAATTGTGCGCGCGCGCACACACACACAAACACCCCTTTACAGATCTGCTCAAGAAACAAGTAGAATTAATTGGTGCTAATGTATTTTTATTCTTGAAAGCAGGTTATTTATATTAGCACAATATATACAGAGAAATAACCAAAAATGGGTGGAGAAATGATGATGGTGATGATGCTGAGGAGGAGGAGGGTGGGGGAAGAGGAGGAGGAAAGAACCAAGATTCTAATGGCATCAAGTAATAAAGATCCAAATTAAGTTCCTTCTGTACTTATATGTCTTTGAGTTAGGTCTCCCAGGATTGCACTTTTAGGATTTTCTTTAAATTTTAGGTTAAAAGTGAATTTTTATAAGAGATAAGAAATAGATCATCAGCAAAACTGTGGAAATGAAGAAACCTGGCATGCTATAAGACAACTCAACAGAGATTTGATATGGCTACCTCTAGATTCCTTTAATTTCCTTTAAAAAGTTGCATTTTTGGAAAAGCCAAAGATTCTCAAAAAGCGCAGGATGTTCTTTTTGTGGTTCCCCTCAAGTTTTGGTGCTCAGAATGGAAAAACCATAGGAGGTCTTGCAATTCATGTTCCCCCTGTTTATTTTAGGTCAGTGGTTCTCAACCTTCCTAATGCCACGGCCCTTTAATACAGTTCCTCATGTTGTATGTGGGCGTATCTGCATGTGGGTGGACCCGCCCGGAGACAGATAGTGGAGCGGTGTCTTGGTTCCTAAGACCATCGGAAATATGTGTTTTCCAATGGTCTTGGGCAGCCCCTGTGAAAGGGTCGTTCAACCCCCAAAGGGGTTGTGACACCCAGGTCTAGAATCTAGATCCAGGAGTTTATTGAGTGATACCACTTGCAAAGCCCTGGGAGAAGAGATTTATCTGTAGAAAAGTAGGATACAATAAAAACAAATACATAAAAGTGATGAAAGCATAAACAGCTTGAATTGTGATTGAATAACGATACGTAGAGTTACCCTAAGGCAAAAGGCAGACCGCAGTTGGGGGGGCGATGGGCAGGAGGCAGACTATGTCTGTCTAGGTCAGGCATGAAGGGACATTCCCACCCGCAGGTATTCACTCTGATTTTTTGACGCAATCTTTCCCCTGGCACCCACCTCCAAATCTAAAGCCAAAGTGTCTGAGCGTTAGATGCACACTTATTTTCCTAAATTAAACTCAGGTAGAAATTTTTCAAAAATAAAAAACAGCAACAACCATGACAGCTAGTTTTCAGAAAATGGAAAGACCAGTTTTATGAAAACTTAGAGTGTGTATTACTCTGCCTCTTGCTGGGCAGAGAGTTGACTCAGAGTTTGCAAGAAAAAAAAATAGATTGAACCACACATAGGGTAAAAAGCAATGATGTTCACTATTTACCAACTATTTTGGGGTTTGGGCTAGAAAGGCAAACAGATCGGGGTTTGAATCCTGGATCTCCCCTCACACGTTAGCTCTGTGATCCTGGACAAGTTATTTAACATCAATGGGCCTCAGGTCCGTCATTTGTTTATCCAAGATAATCGCAGTACATTGTGTCTACCTTAGAGACTGCTGGGAGCTTTAAACGAGAAAATGCCTGTCCTGTCCTAAGGGGAGGCCTGGCACACGGCAGGGCACAGTGACTGGCAACTATCAGCATATATTTCCCGAGCAGAATGTGAGGACCGGCAGGCGGTACAGCTAAAAACCCTAACAATGTTTGCATTAAAACTGGTGGTTGGTTGACTGATCTCTTTAGTACAAGCACATGCATGGGATTCGGTGAAATGAGTATCAGCTAGGCCCCTTGCTCTCTCCCTCTCTCCTGTAAATGGGGTTAGGTTTGCCCTGAGCGGGAACC